TCCAGAAGAGTTAGTTTAGATTAGTTGCACACTAGTACCATGGACAAAATGACCTTCAGATGTCATCTCCTAGATAAATTTTATCCAAAGAAAATCCAGTTCACACACTCCAAGATCATCCTGAGGGCTGAAGCATGCTAAATGGAGACAACCAGCAGGGTCTCTTGAAAAGCAATTAAACAAAAATGAAGACACATTAAGTAGAGATCTGCTGAGAAAAAAACAAATTTTGAATGACAAGGCATTAATTTCTTAACTAAAATTAAAATCTGAGGATTCTTTAGTCCTTTCCTCCATACTTGTCTGAAGTAGTTCTGAAGCTTATGTTTCGCAGAACTGTTCTAAATTATTGTCCTCTTTGCAATTTAAAAACATAGAAGTGGAGACAGACAGGTTATAGATCACTGTACAAACGAAACAAAATAGAATATAAGCTTTTTCAGCTTCCTTACGTTTTGGGTTTTTTTGTTTGTTTGTTTGTTTGTTTTGGGGTTTTTTTTGCCACAAATATTCAGCACACCTTTCATTTGGATATTCAGAAGAAAACCCCCAAAGGATTCAAGACTGTATCTATATGTTAGATTATTATTAGCAATGCATTCCTAACACCTCTTTCAGGAGGAAATTATTTTAGATATAAGATGCAAATATGTTTATAATATCTTTTCCTAAATCCTTGATTTCTTTGTGAATAGTTTTATCCATACTTTACACTGGAAAGACAATCACAGTATTCAAAAATGTGCTTTACCTTTAATAACAGCTTATAATGAATACTAATATGATAGTGAATGATATGTAATACACTGGAAATAGTGTTCCAAATCAATCATCTATGTTTTTATCTAACCAGCTGGCAATTTTAATTAGTAGTTTTCTCCTTTCAATATTTTCAAGTTTTGCAGATTCCAGTAGCATAGTAATAGCCTCTCTCTCATCCTCTTCCAAAGTAGCATTATAAAAAACCTGCAACTGAAGAAATAAACACACGAGCTTAGTTCACAATTAACTTCACTTGTGGCAAGCAACTGTGTGCCTGAGAGAAAAGGGGCAGATGACAGAGACTAAAGAGGAGGTGGGACAAGGTAACTGATTTACACTAATGTGGGAAAGCTCCTTACATATCAAGAATGTGCCCTTTTTCTGTTCCTCTAAAAATCCTTTCAAATGCAGCCAACTTCACTGGTACTGGTAATACCACACTGTCTAGGACTAGTTGGGTAGAAGAATCCTCTTTTTCTGCTTGTTCTACAATCACAGAACAAGAAATCTTTCTCATCAGTCTAGTAGGCAAAAGACAAGAGAGGAGTGCAGAACAGTAAATAAATATTTGGGGGAAGCAGTGATTGAACAATATAAGGAATTAAACAGATGTTAGTATGACAGTCTAACAGGCCAGCTGCCCAAATGTTGGTACATTTTCAGTAGGTATCATGGCAGAGATTGTCTCTACAGACAGATTTCATAGAGAAAATGAGACAGTTTTGATAGAATTTGTGGGGACTCTGCTCAAAACTTTAAGTTTCATGTTTAAAGAACATGTTTTTGTTCTTTAAGAACAAAAGAACAAAAACTTGTATTTACAAACTGGCCATGAAATTGAGACTAAATGCTTCTCTAGTTTACCTCTTGGATCTGTACATCTGTTTTGACAAATCTTCCCATGGCTTTTAGTACATCATGCAATAATTCATGCCCATATCTGTAAAATTGAGATAAAGGTCCTTCAAATAGCACATTAGCAAATATACTAAATTTTATCACATTTGAAAATACTTACACTATTTAGTGATTATTTACTATGCTGTGTTGTATTGTGTTTTAATGGTTTCAAGTTTCTGTATCTGTTTTGCACTGGTTTGTTCTTGTACCCCTTATTTTCCCCACCAGTTCTGCCCCAAGCTACCCCTTTTCCTTAAATGTCAATCCCCTCCTCCTTGTCCTGTGCCATTCCCCTTCTCCCTGCCTATGTGCTCCTGAAAAGTGCTGTGTCATTCCCCTGTCCTCTCCCTGGTGTCTTGTCTATCACTTGATTCCCCATCCCACTTCTCCAGAACCTTCTACCCTGGGCATCAAGTGATTGAGCGAGGACCAGGGGTCTCTCCTCTGGTTTCCCCCTATTGGTCCATGTATTTCTCTGTTCCCTCACCTTCCACCACCCTAAAACCCCTCATTAACTCTTGGGTGCTCTCAGCTGTTGGATTCCCTGAGGTGTGGAGCTCCCAGGAGCCCCTTAATAATAAACCTTGGCCTGTTACCCCAGCCCTGAGTTGGCCTCTTCTTCTCCTCCTCAGACATTGCCTCTCCTCCACACCAGGGCTGACAGCGTCAGCGCTCAGCCCCAGCTGCACCCCAAACCTCCTGAGGCACAGGGGAGTGTCCCCTGCTGCCAAACGTGCCAGGGCTGGTCGGGCAAAGCCAGGAGGCTTCAGGTGGGCAATGCTGCAAATGCCAACTAAGCTGAAGTTTGCAACTATGGACTCTTTTCCCTCTTTTAAAGAACTACCATTAATATTCAATTTAGACATTTGAGCTGCATGAAATACAATAATAACCCTTTAATTTCATTTCCTAGAAGGATCTGGTATTTGTATTTTGGTAATATGAATTCTTTTCATGAAACAGATAATCTCTCTGAGGCCATACAGCCAAACTGAGCTAAAAAGACTAACCAGTATGTGTCTAACAAACTGGTGCTCCTGTTGCTATTGTGAGGGTGGCATATAAATAAAGACTTGCATTATTCTTTTAGTTTGAAAATAAGGGGGCAATTTCCCAACAAATTTCTCATAAATTTAAAACATAGAAAAGCTCTGTAAGAGAACAAGTTGATATGACACAAATCTGCTGCAACTTGCCTTTTCTAGTGCTAGCAACAATTTACACATTTGAATGCTCCTAAATGGCTGATTTTTCTTCTGGATCACAATGACCTCCTCTGCCATCAAAAGCAGCTGGAATGTACTCTTGTCAGCAGCCTGCTGCTTTTCACAATTGCCAAGGAGAGAGGGAGTCTTCAAGCAAACATCAAAATACTTGCTTTGTTTAAAACAGATAGCCCAAGCTCACCTGCAGTTTACCTATAGCAGTGCAGGTGGGCTGGCAATAGGTTTAAGAGTTAAGTCAGGGAATAACACTGCAGTTGGTCTTAGCAGCTCTTGCATGTCTGCATGCTGTAATACCCCATCTCTTCATACTCTCTTTGGAAAAGAGGTGAGGGTTTTACTTCAGCATTTTACACCCACAATTTACACAATTTGCTTGTAAAATCCTAGTGGATAAACCCACTTCTAGAGTCAGAATTCCCAGGAGTACTTAAAAGTACAGAAAAAGTCATGAACAGAATAATTTTTAAAGTCTTTTGTGTTTGATGAGCTATTTTTTAATCTAATTTAAATCCTGATCAGAGTTCAATCTTCTGAAAACTCTGTTCTGTATACTTAATTGAATCAGTCATTACAAATAGCCATCTCTGAAAGGAAAATCTGCACCTGAATTTTACAGCTCAAACATCGAGGAAGAAGACAAAGAGCCACAAAAATTAAAGGAACCCAAAACTTGTTGCTTACCCTTGACTTAAAAGTGACCAATTTTCCGTAACAAATTCCCAGGCTATACGGTGCCCAATATCCTGAGTCACTATATGCGAGATAATGACTGAAGTACAATTGGAAGAAAATAATGTGTCACTGAGTCCATATTGCAAGTATCTGTTAGAAAAGCAGGAAAAAAATGAACCTGTCACTTGCTGTTTTACAATGGAAATATACAATATTGCAATCTGGAAATATAATCCAGTTCACAAAAATTCCTACCTCAATAAATATCAGCATGTGGAAGGTTATACCAAAGTTGGTGTCACTCTGAGCTATTCAGCTCGAGTTTTGTCCTCAACATTTGTTCTTGCACACTGTTCACTTAATAAAGTGAGGGTGCAGAATATCAAATGGACATAGATGTGTTTCTTATCTTTGCACCAGAAAGACAACTGCTGCTACCAGACAAGCCTGTGGAAAGGCAGACTGCTTTTCACCTTCCGGCAATTCACTTCACTGTGACTCATATGAAGTCTATGGAGTATACCAGCAGTGAGATGCTTTTACACAAAAGCAACCTGTTCATAAGGTCCCCTGCAGCAAAACTCAATGAGAAGATTTTTCATGAGGACTAAGGCAGGATTTCAGAAATATCTTCTAATTATGTCAGTGGCACTGAATGCCTGAACATCTTGAAAAGTAATTATTCTCTTTGTTGCCTCAGTGTTTTACCTTGGATGCTCCTACTTCCAAATGAATCCTTTTAGAGTTATTTTCTCTGCTCCTTTATAGGTAGAGTAGTTGAGTTGGGCTTCTCCCCTTTGCATGCCACCACTATGCTTAACATAATGAAGATAATTGTGAAGGCCAGGGAAAGATATCTTAACATTCTTCACCCCAAAACACTCTCTGCATGGCATTTCAAAAAAACAGATTGGTTTGTCAGCTACTGAAGTACATGGAGGAGGAAGCTCATCACAACTCCCTGATTTATCATGGAACGGTGCTAGCCTGTTCTATGAAAAAGGCAATAGGATCATAGGAAATTAGTTTAGCTGGTTGTCATCTCTTTGCAACATTTTTTGTCTTATTCTCAGTCATATTTTTCTGTCTTCCCAAATGACCACCACACTAGAGCAGGTGGCTGGAAGGACTAAGATGTTACTTCCGCACCTTGGACCCATGGAGTTTATGTGAATGTTTGGATGATATTTCTTTAGAGCATCACTGCCAAAATTCCACTCTTTAACAAATGCTTTAGGTAATACAAACATGACTAATTAAAGAATTTAACATCTTTTTACTGACAAAGATACAAATGCCAGTAAAAGAAAATAAACATAGTGTTCCCAACTATGTTCTGGAAACTTTTGAACAAGACTCTTCAATATATGTCTTAACTTTTTGGTTGGCCCACGTGGAGTCAGAACTTAAGACCTGATGACCCGTATTTTGTATTTGCAGAAGGTTTGTTTATTTGTGTCTCTCATTTTTCATACTTGCTCCCTAACCAAACTCTTTAAAACATTACCAGTGGTTGACAAGACACATGCTTCTGTGGCATGCAAACTTCTACCAGCTTTGCACAGTAAAGTATTTTTGTTCTTATTATTTACTATTGTATTGCAATTTACTTCTACATACAATAAAGATATACTTTATTCAAGGTCACCTGTAAAGTAACCATGACTCTTTGGCACAACTCATGGCATAGAGCAGGATGTCTTCATCTTCCTCAACAGAGTTGGTATGGTTGTACATTTCCCACGCAAAATTCCATTCTTTATCACTTCCCACTGCAACACCATAACAGCAGATTGTTCTTCTAATTAAAAAGGGGATTCTGCAAGGCAAAATACACTTTAAAGGTACTGTACTGTTGTAGAGGCAAACCCTGTTAATGCGTAACTGAAATAAAATGTTTATTTACAGTTAAAAGATACACAACAGTGCAAATATAAAATAGTAGTGTAAACAAATATGAGGAAATCTCATTGTTTTATCTTTGATTTAAGCATTTAAAAAGCATGCAGTTTAAAGGAAACCAAAACCCCCAGCATTTTTAGAGCAATATAGAGCGATTGGACCAGACTATTTTGTGTGCATACAGTGTCAATGCCACTGTTCTCCATCACAACCTAGGAAATGGATCACATCATTAGAGAGAGTACTAATGCATATATGCATCATTCCAGACAAGCCTTTTCTAAGTTTCTGCAGTGAATGCACCCCATAGGAAAAGCCATTTGCAGCACAGAAGGAAACAGAAGGGACTTTTTTCCATGCAACAGGCAGCCTCCTATTACTCCCACCCCAGGGAAGAGTCCTCAACACGGCAGTGAATTTCATAACAGAAACTAAATGAAAGAATTGCCAGTATAATGCTCCATATGCAAAGGCTGAACAGGAAGTTTTTTCTGTAGCAATGATGTATCCCTGACATTAAGATATTGCAAACAATTTTCAGTGATAGCAGTATTCTACTATGCAGGTATCTGAAAATAGTTTCAATTAACTTTGGACTAATTCCCTACAGAGGAATGGGTGTCATTTCTATAAATGAAACATTTGACTTCCCTATGTCATACTGTTAGTCTGCTTATTATTACATTAAGCCAAGGTTGTAAGTCAAGGTGTAAATATTACCCTCTCTTTGATCAGGAGATACACTTAGAAAAACAGTTAATTTTCTGGTCAGAAAAGCCATTCTTCAGCCCAAAACTGGGCCTGAAGAATGAAAAATTTAAATTCAAATTTAAATACAATTTGAGAAAAAATTCTGAGTTTCAGCAGACTATACTAGAGAAAGTAAGGCTGATGCCAACAGTTGGTCAGTCAGGAGGAAGGATAAATTATATCAATCTTTAGAGTATAAGGTAGAGAAAAGAAAGTTATAATTTTGGAAACAAAAGACTAGTAGGAAAGAGTGAGAGAATGGGGTGTTTTACATGACAGACATCCCTGGTTAGTTAAAAGACAAGATGCAGGGATTTTGGTAGTTTGTTGCAGATGGGGTATTTTACTGTCATGCTAACAGAAAGTGTAGGCATGTCCTATATTTACTTTAAGAAATAGTTTGGATTCATTTACCTAGATATTTTCTGGGACATAAGGGATTTACCACCAAGAATGACATGTAGAGTAGTTATGTCAGGCTAAAGTATTGCCCTGCGAGGAATCCTTCTCTAACAGGTCTGAGTTACATGGTCTAGTAATTTATTTAATAATCTTTTCATAATGTTGCAGTTACAGGTCATAGTAAGGTGACAATGGGGTAAAGCTATTTTGGCCAAATACAGCTATTTATTTTACTACTGAAGCTGCTCCAGTAGTTGCAAGAAAATGTTCATTAAAAAGTGTAAAGTTGTGTGTGAATAGACAAGCACTGTGTATCATTTGGCTGCAGCTCTGATGTGCAACATTTGAAGCAGACTGGATGGGCAGCTTACTATGGGGCAATGGTTTGCTGGCTGGTGCCATCTCTGGTGGCCCTGAAGTGGTTTATGTTGTGTAGTTCCCAGAGGGTGTCCAGTATGGTCCAAAAAGGGACTTTGGGGCTTGAGGTTATGTTAAGTGACTTAATTCATCTTGATGTTTTTTCTGGCTGTGTGATTTGACATTACTGCCTGCCAGGAGCCCTCATTTCTGGAACTTGGGGAAAATGTAAAAACCTGCTGGAAAGCAGGGCAGGTTATTTTACATTGATGTTTTTGTTTCGTTTTTGTTTTTTTTTGTTTTTTGCTTATTTGGTTGGAGTTTTTTTTGTTTGTTTGTTTTGGAACCAGAAATAACATGGTGATTTCTTAACTTTTGAGAGTAGCAGCAATATATGTGAACCTTTAGTAAAAAAGTAAAATGGACTGAAATACTGTCCCTCCCCCAAGGCTACTTTCCTTCTTTGAAAAGTCAAGCCAGTAACAGCATCTAAGAGAATACATTTATTTAGCAAGCTTCACTACACTCCTGTAATGAAAAAAGAGTAAAACTGAGAGCTGGGGATTACAGCTCTAGTTATTTTTATGAAAGAGATAAATATGCACTGTATTAAGTCCAGTTATGTTCTGTTAGGAACAATTTGGAAATGTTCAGCTGAATATTGATCAATCAATCTGAAACAGAAATGCATTACTTCATTCCACAGATGTGAGAATCCTTCTGGGTTCCACCTGTGGCAAAACAGCTGTTATGAATTTGCTCTCAGCATGGAGAACATAAGAGCATCTAAAGGGTTTGTCTGTGAAATATGGGTTAAAAGTGTATTGTGCCTATTTCTTTTCCTACCCAGCACATGTAAAATCTTTTCATTAACTGCATGGGAACAGTGATGCGTCACTTGAAACCTAAGAAGTGTCCTACCTTCTGTGGGGTTTTCTCCTTAAAACATGATAATCTTTCAATTATTTAATGATAATTAATTTACCAAATTCAGAGTTTCATTTTTTCCACACATATAGACCAGTAAAATCCATTTGAGGTTTTCCCAGTGCCAAGAAGGACAGCACAAATAATATTCTTCATCAAATTCAAAACTCAATCAGCTAATATATTTCACAGATTTTTCAGCCATTCAGGTCAAACAAGGTATGTTGTATTCCATCACCTCAAATGTTATTAGTAGGGAAAGATGACTGTTTTGAAAACAGACTGACATTTCAGGACATGATTATTGCTTGTAATGTGGAATTGCAAGAATATTCTCTCTAGAATGGAACAAAATGTATGTAGGCTATTTAAACTTTCCAGTCTAACAGAAAACTCAGTTTGGCTTTTATGAGGATGATCACTGTGAAGTTATCTTAGAAAACTCAAATACAATAGTACAAGTTCAGTTTACTTAGCCAACTACATGTATCAACATATATCAAATAAAAAGTACAAAATATTAATCACAACTGCAACAAATAAAAATAAACTTTAAATATTCACTCACCAGTGCCAACACTATTTGACTATTGCATAGAAAGACATCAAAAGAAAGAGGAAGAAAAAGAGAATAAGAATTTCAATACATTGTAATTTTTTTTTTAATAATGCAGTGGTTGAATACAGAAAGTCTCTTCCTGGTAGAGTCCAGAGTCCATTCTCACAGACCAGACCCCTGACCACTAGGCACCAGTACCAGCATAAGGACTGACAGCGGTTCCCAGCATCTCTTTATGTGAACACAGAACATGCAAGGCACTTTGATGGGATCACCATGGGCAGATGGCTGTACCATGCAAACATCACTCAGTATTGTTACGAGAAGCTTAAAAGCTGAGTTGGTGTGCGTGAAAACCCCAAGGCTGTATACAGCAAAGGGACTGGGCATATGGGATATTAGCAGTCACAGGAGGTTCACCTGTTACATAGCTAACCAGCTTTTGGTCTTCATGGCAAAATCTGCATCCTCCAGCATGTGAAGTCTATGTAAAAAGTAGCAATTATGAAATCATAATAAAGCTGGGATTTGGGGAAGAGGAGGAGGTGGGGCAGACATAGTTGTCTTAAATTCTGCCATTCTGTCAAGAAATAAGAGCAGTGTACAGGAGCATTTCTCATTTTGCCTCCCCCTTGTAACAGCCTTTTAACTTTCCACCTCCCTTAGACATGCACACCTCTAAGAGCAGATCACCGTTCTTACTTGTACTCAGGGTTGTCCCTCCACTTAGCATACAGTTCCGATGAGAGGTCCAAACAGTCTTGGAGGCCCAGCCAGCACGCTGTTGCCAAGAGTTTTTCCAAATACACTCTTGAGGAGAAGTTAAAACAGTAAGAATGAAAGATATGCATACCACATTTGGAGTACTTGATCTGTGCCTGACCACCACAGTTTCAGAACATGATGCCATTAACCCACAAGAATCCTCTCCTAGGAATAATTGAGTTTTAATAAAATAATTAAACAAACAATAATGGTCCCAAGACATTAATATTAGTGGATATTAGTGAGGCAACCAATGTACTATATTTTTTGTAAGTTTTTTGTGTGGTTTATAGCCCTTTTGGAAGTTTTAAGGTATTGGCTGTGTTTAATCCAAATCACTCTGATATTTAAGCCTTTGGCTGCAGTGGCCTTGCAAACTGAAGTATTTTAAAGTTTAGTAATTGACTCGAAAATTATATCTTGACTTCATTGCTGTCAGTTTTTCTTCAATTAGCAGCAGCCTGTTGAGCCTGTTCTCTGACAAACGAGAGCTACCACTATGATCCTTAAATTATCATCCTTTATGCTCCTATCCTGATACTGCAGTTGCACTGGAGGTGTCGTCATAAAGAATACACACTTAAAGGACAGTAAAATCACAATTTATTTATGTTCACATTAGTTAGAGGATTATTCCTGTGTCTTGTATTTAAATTTACATGAGCAAATTGCAACATATCAAATCCAGTCACACCAGAAAAAACTCTTAAGAAAAGCAGAATACTTACTGAGCAAAATAGTCATCTTCCAAAGCATCAACATTTTGACGAATAAAACCTGCATAATAATGGTATATTGGCAACATTCTCTTTAAAAGGTATTTCTTTTAAAAGAAGGGAAAGAAAAAATACTTTCATTTAGATGCACATTTTTATTTTCCTTATTTACTCAGATTTATACTAAACATTTATCACTATTAATGTCCTGAAAACACAGAAAATTAAATTAAACTGAGTTTACAATGCAATATAACTGTACTTCAAATCAAACTGGCACATTACCATTTCACATCACTCGGACCTTTGAACTTATTATAAAAGACAACAAATTCTCAGAGAAACAGGAAGAAACCCTTCTCAATAGGAAATACTTTGTTCTTCTCATTTATTTTCACATACCTTTATTTTTTAGAGCTTAAGAGAACTAATACTGTGGGACTTAATAAGTGGAATCTTCAAATAGACATCAAGAAAATAAATGTGACAGTAGTATCTCAGGTGAGTAAAATATAGGAGAGAATAATTTCATTTAGTATCTAAACACTGTTCCTTGTTTCTCTCCATGAAAGTGAATGGAAAGCACAGACCACAAATACACCACATACCTTTTGTGCATAGCAGTGTTGGTCTTTTCAATTACTACTGACTGATAGTTCTGTTTTCCAAATTCACCATTTCAAAAAAACAAGGATGAAGCTTAAAGTAAAGAATGTGCATGTATTTCTGCTTTTCAATAAGAAACAGCTCAAGATTCAATGAGACTTATCATTGACTAATATGTATAATTAAGTACCTACTCCTATTTTAAAAAAATCAAAACTTGATAAAATCATGCAAAAGAAATGACAAACACTGTGACTCATCATAGCCACAACTACATTACTGAGAATTTAAAAAGCATTAATTTTAGACTAACATATTTGCATGATCTAATATCTTTGGTAACTAACAAAATGGTCATACCTTTAAAAGTGGATATACTTCATGGTTCTTCAGTGTACTTTCTAAATTGTCAGGAATAAGGTTTAACAATACCACATTCCATATGAAGAGCTCATCTTCTCTGGCAAGGTATTTAGTTAGTTCAAGTGCTGTTTCAATTGGAACATACCCAAAGCTATGTAAAAAAAAAAAAAAAAAAAAAAA